CTAGTCTGGATAGGGAGGGTTAAATTATATATATATATAATATATATACTATATATCATTTATATATGTATCATATATATATATGTATTAATTCTATTGTATTGATCATCTTATATATGTCAGCTCCGTTTGATTTGTAAAGTATTACTGATGAAGACTTCGGTCGAAACGTTTAAGCGATAGTGTTTTTTCTGAATATCTATGTTATTTTAATTACACTCGGTGCATGAGCTTTTGATGGTATATATATATATATATATAGTATAGATCGTATTTTCGGATCGTATTTTAAGGCCAATATAGTTTTTGCTGACAGTGTCTTCGGTTGTTGTGATATCAAAATACACCTGGGAACTTAAAGACAAAAACAAGGATTATGACATACAATGGACCATCATCACCTCAGCCAAACCATACAACAACATTACAAAAAGGTACGACCTATGCTTAACTGAAAAACTATACATCATCAAAGCAAATAACAACACTCTTCTAAACAAACGATCCCAATTAATCTCCAAATGCCGACACGAAAACAAGTTTTATCTCATGAACAATAGAACTCTACCTAACTAATTAACCTGTATCTAATAAAATTTCCTTTGTTAAACTTTATCACACCTTTTGTATATTTATACTGCAGTAACAGGAATATTCTTCATTATTGTCTGTTTGATGAGTGCGCAAGCACGAAACTCGGAGTAACAGAGAACATGTCTCATTTTTAGACTATAATAAAATATTCTATTTTATTATATATATTTATATATATTGATATATCAGCAAAAGATATCGTGGCCAGGAGATATCTGGAAAGAACCTCAAACCATCAATGTCAACATATACATTTTAGAAACTTTTGTTGTCCTCTTCGGTCTTTGAAGAAGCAAAAAGGGTTCTAAAATAAAAAGGCCGCTCCAAACGGGCCAAGTTCAGAACGAAAAATGTAAAAGAGATCAAAAGCAACTTGCCATTGAAAATTTAAGTCATAATCCCCTCGGCGTATTACCTATATGAAGGCTTAATTAAAGCTGAAGTTATCTAAGAGAATTTTCAGGTCACTATTGTTAAACATGTTGCGCCTGGGTCAAAGGTAGATAGTGATCAACAAAGAAACAAATAAGTGACCTCTTGTATCATCCAAGAAACGAATAAACAATCTTGTAGTCGATTGAATGGTATAAACAACGCAGCTACAATCCATTGTGTCAGAATAAAGGTTGAGCTATTTTATTTTGTACCAAAGCAGGGGTATAGCCGACGCAAAAGAATTGTGGTGGACTAAAATGAGGGTTTTCAAGCAGCTTTCTACGGGCTTCAAGAGAACACACAGATAAACGCCATTTTTAAAATGTTGTTCTATTTCTAAATACTTGTAAAACAATGTTTCATTTTGATCTATATTCTTTGCGGTGAAAGAGGTCGGCCATAATACACAAAGGAAAGTCAAGACAGAAACGTTCACTCTAGCCCTGTTCCCGATGGCCTTGTACCAAAATGAGTACAGATTGGTATCTGGTTCAAAGTTGATTAGGTAGATCCACAGTGAATCTGCTATATGTACCAGATTTGAAACGGATCCAAGCGGTCGCGGATCAAATACGAGACAATGAAGGGTTGGGAATTAGTAACAGTGGTTTTTAACCTGTATATAAAAAGCCAAGGAAAAAGACACTAATATGCATAGTTTTCGTAGCCAGAACAATTCCTTTATTCAAATACCGTGCCTAACTGTAGAAAAACAGAAATCTTTTTGAATACGCGGCCAGTTGAATCGAGTAGCTCCAGAATAATTCTAAGTCAGTGCAAACACGAACTGATTCAGATTCGTCCGAACACAAAGTAGATCTTGCTTATTCGATTCCTTATCAGCGCAAGCGGTTTTGTCTTTACCCGGTTTTGCCTTGATTTTTAACCGGCTATTATTCCGGTTAAAGCAAACAACATTCATTTTAGCCGGTAGTACATCCTTAATCTGCAACCTCTCTTTTGTTAAAAAATCTTTGCACTTTATGTCTTTTAAACATTACTGATTTCAATTTTGAAACCGCTAAGCTCGTAGAATTGTGTAAAATGGAGGGAAATAGACCGTAGCTCGTATAATTGTGTAAAATGGAGGGAAAAGTTTTTATTAATTGTTATGTAACTTTCTTAAAACGCTTACGTCACCATGATAATGTGGAATAGAAAACCAAACATTATAAAAACAAGATGCAAAATATATGCAGTAAATATTAAGCAAATAACCCAGTCCAGAAAAGGTTTTGGAATATTTAAACATACACAATGGTGGGACAATTACCCAAACAGGCCATCATCCACCCCCTCCCCACTGCAGTAGGATTTGATGGCCGCTTACCCGCTTATAATTACTACAACTTACACGTGTGCTGTTATTTAGATATAAAAGCTGGGCAGCCTTAGATGAAATAAGTGAGTTTCTCTTAATTTGAAACTGCCTGTGTATAATTGCTCTACCACACCACCACTAAGGAAATTTGCCCCACCAGGGACCAGATCCATTTAAAAAATTGAATCTTTTGATTATTGAGGAAGACCCAGAAATCTGTCTTGACCCAGAAGATTCTTGCTTGCTTGCTGGCTATAAACGTTTTCTGAAAAGCAAGCAGTTGCAAGAAGTGTCTCTTCTATAAAAAATAGTCTTCACTTTCTAAATCACCTAGCTATTAAGAGAGCAATTCAAAAAAGAGATTGAAGTAGAGTCTCAATTTTATAAAAGTGGAACAACAGAACACAGCTTGGAAATTTCGGGATTTAGAAACAGCTACGCAGACTAAAATGTTTCTAAAAAAGGGCTTCAGTTGCATTTTTTGAGTTTGATTTTCAACTTTCGGTTGCTCCGGAATGAATTTCAACAATTTTAGATACCCAAGCACAAAGTACGTATCTTTGAATTCACCATAACAAAATCCCCAAAACAAAGAAAAGTTTTTTTAATAGAAATATTTTACAGGTACACCTATCATCAAAGCTCAATTTGCGTGTTTTCGTAATCATGGATATTGTTCATAAATAGAAGAAACTCGAAAGCTTTTTGCAATTCATATCTTAACTACAATTTTTTGATAAATATTCTATTATTTCCTGCTTGAACTAATTAAAACTTTCTGTTACTTGTTGCGGTTATTTGAATTTTTTAGTTAAAAAACTTTGGCGGCTGTATGGCAATTTTTTCGCTAAGGGTGCAATACTTTCGGGCCGTAAGTGTAAAACCTTGAGAGAATTTTGGGGCATCACTCCTTAATGTATTATGAAAGTTTCATACATTTGGAAAAGAAGGTATTGCTTGATTTTTCTCAACAACGTATTTCGAGATGGCATATCCTTCATGCTTTGATTTATGATGCTTCTAAAATTGTCAGTGTTTCATGGGCTCTGAGGCAGGATGGAAAGTTGGGGGGGGGGGGCTTGTGAAGGGAAAATTTAGAAATCACAACAAAAGATTTTGAACAAAGCTCTCTTGTTTTGCAAAAAGAAAGGATGGGATATGCCCTGTGTTCATTTCTTTCTTGCATCAAACACACTTTACTTTCCGCCTATACTTTCGCTGTCGATCAATACTTCAGACTTCATCTCGAGGCGAAGATAAACATGTGTGCGTCGAGACGAAAGACAGAAATGTATATATATGTTGCTGTTGCTTGCCTCGTTTCTGTTTTGTTTCCCCAACTGGGCGGACATTGAAAAAAGAGATGGGGGGAAAAGACCATCAATTCAAAAACCAAGTTAAGGCAAAAAGTAGCAATAAAAGTGCGACCTAAAGAAAATTTTCAGATTTGCCCGACAGATACACTGGCAGCCATAAATCTACCCGACAAAATTTGCTTTCTTGAAGATTTGGGGGTGCAGCACCCCCCCCCCCCATACCCGCTAGCAGTTTCGCCTCTGCATTCCATCCCCAATCATATGCCTCGTGGAGGCATAGGGATTTTAGTTACCCTGTAACCAATGTGTCCATGTGTTCCAAAGTGACGTGCTCCTTCTCTTTCTATATTTTTGTCTATTTTTGTTTTAAGTTCTTATTATTTTTCATGAATTGGAGGTTGTAGAATAAAGACACTACATATTGGCATTTCCTATGGACACAAAATAAGGGAGCACAGCATGCCCTGTTCTTTGGGGTTATTCAGTTCATTGAGAGTGATATAAGTTTAAAAACTGACTAATATTTACGTACCAGAAAGATAAATGAAGTGTATTAATGAGATAGACTTAGAAACTTGAATGTTACATTCGACATAAAGTTATGTTCATTAAGAATTTTAGCAAAGGGCTACAAATCTGTAAAAACCAAGTACCGATGTTTCAAAACAAGGTTTGTTTTCCATTATTGCTCTTCAGAAAGCAAAGCACTTCGAAAAGCTAGAAACAGTTATACAGAGTGCAAACGTCCAGCGCTGTAGCAGTATTGACAACAACAATATGCAAATCGAGAGGAATGTGTTGTACTGTTGTGTTCGTATTTTTTCCAGACAAACTGTAAAGATCAAACCATTAATGATTTTACTTAACTCCCATTTCTTAGAAACTTTTAGTTCAAAAGGCGGAAGGAAAAATTTTATCCGGGAGAAGGCCGAGAAGGCGTTTTCAAAACTCTGCAGTTATGGGTGCATTTATAAATGGAAAATCAAAGAGCGCCTTACTACGTAGATTAATTAATAAATGAGAAGATTCTTTTATTTATGCATTTAAGCGCTGCAAAAAGGTCAAACTTCGCATTAACTTTTTCATTGTGGCACGTTATCCTATTGTCCGATTTCATCAACGTTACTCGCTTCCACGTTAATATACGTACAACCTTGGGAAGATTATTTTTGTACCGATAGCTAATTCTTTCTAACACTCACGCTTTCTGGCTCCAGAATATGAAAAGATCGTAGGATCAAAGTCCCACCCCCTCTCCCGCAATAGCCGACATTTTCTGCCTTCGTAAAAGCAAGGATTGTAATAATCTTGATCTAAAAACCCTGAAGCCCCAGAAGATCTAGAATTCATCTCTATTGGCAACAATCTTTTCAAAGGATTACTCAAAAGATATAACGTGGACAAAAGTTATGACAAATATTGTTTCCATGATGCACTGAATTTCATGATGCCATTTGTTTTTGTGCAGGCTGAAATCTTTTGAATTTCACAGCTTTATCTATTTTTGCCAAGGTTGTTTACTGACATTTGTTTCCATGTCGTTATTTTGCAAGCTGTTCATTTGCTAATGATTTGTTTTGCAGCTTGGCTTCAACAATGGCCACCATTGTAAACCACGTAGCTAAGCGATAACAGATTACTCCAACAACGCTGTTGTCATGTAGGACGAAGGAAAACCTCTTGCAGGCCTTCGTTCAAAAATGACCGCAAAACTGCAAAATAACACTGGAATGGATCACTTGATAAAACATATGTTCAAAGGATATTGTGTAAGTAAGAGAATCGCGCCTTAATAAAAAGTTGGTCTGCCTGTTTTCCAACATGGCGCTGACTCATGGACAAGGACGTTTAGGACTACTGGGCCTAGAAATTGGAGACAGGGAACAAGAATTTGATAATAATGGTTGGGCACACGTGCACCATGCAGCTTTTAATGGGTATCAAAAGAGTGTCTTACGTTTTGTAAATACTAAACCGGACAGGTTGGAAATATTAACAGAAGATGGCCAGGGTCTGACCCCTTTTCTGATCGCATGTGTAAGTGGGCAAAAAGAGATCATTGAAACTTTGATAGACCTTGGAGCAAATGTAAACGCAGTGGATCGCAAGATGTTAGGGGCTGTGGAGTTATCGTCTTTAAATGAAAATACACATTTGCTAGAATTTTTTATAGAAGCAAATATAGGCATAAATGTCTTCAGCATATTATTTCAGTGTTTATCCGGAAAACACAATAACGCAGACCTTGAGATGGCAGCATGTAAATCGATTCATTTGTTGTCAAGAAATTCTGCATTTTGTGAAAAAATAGTCGAAAACAGTGGCATAAAGTCCCTACTTGACTACCTTAAATCAACAATTGCAATTGATTCTTCAAAGGACACGTGCCTTGAGATATTACTTAATATTTTCAAAACTTGCTCTGTGCATGATCAGGTGTTAAGAAATGGTGGAATTGAAATTTTGATAGATAATTTGAAATTGGCAAACGAACCTTCAATTTATTTAAAAGCTGTGAAGATATTAGGAATGCTTGCTATGCACGCTGGCAAAGACATCAAATATAAAATTGATGACCTGTCTGGCATAACCTCAATTGTGACCATTCTAAAAAGTGCAAAAGAAAATGGACCACTTGTTTTGGAGTGCTTGGCAACATTAATAGTGTTAATTACTGACGATAAAAAAATGCAGACAAGCTTCTGTACAAAGGCTGCTTGTATGAAAGTTTTGATAGATTTGATGTCAGAATCAACTGATCCAAGGCAGAATGTTGCCACTTTGCGAGTAATAGTGGCTACTGTCTCTGACAACAAACAAGCCCAAGCCATGTTTGCAGAGCTCAATGGTTTTAAAGCATTATCTTTAATGTTGAAGTCAAAATCTAGTGATTGTGTTATTAGTGCTGTTATTGCTGTTGAGAGATTGGCAAAAAAAAATGAGCAAAACCAAGACATTCTCTTAAAGCAAGGAATTATCAATGTTTTGATAAAAATTCTTAAAAAGAGTAGACATGTAGAAGGAAAAGCTGCAACAGCTGGAGCATTGTGGGCAATTGCAGGAGATAAATTTCACCAGCAAAGAGCAATAGCAACATTGATGGGTACTGGAGTGTGCATTGAGTTTCTTGGAAGCTCTGTTCCAAGTCAGTTGCATTTTTATGGATCAGAAGGCATACAAACATTAACAAAGGGAGTTGGCAGAGAAATTGATGAGATTGCTAATGCTGGGGGTATCCAAAGGATTTTGCATATACTTGGCAATGCAACTACACCCTCTTATGTTGCTTTGAGTATCCTGAAGTCTTTAAGATGCTTATGTATTGCCCCTGGTTATGCACCACATATTGTTAATCAGAAGATGTGTATGAATGAAGGTGCTGTGAGAATTATAATAAATTATGCCAAAAATGCAAGAACAGAAAAAGAGCAGGCAGAATCCTACTACACACTTGGAGCTATAGCTTATGGCAACAAGGAAAATGTATCTATTATCACAAAGACAACTGACTTTAGTTACATTGATGTGTTAACATTGCTGTACAGTAATAACATCCATGTTAAAGAAATATCAGGCAGTGCCTTAGCACTTTTTGCTTTTAATAGTCAGAAACAACTGAAAGAAATTGCTTACTCTGGTGGAATTCCTACCAACATTTTGTTCCTTTCTTGATGTCTAAAGACAAAATGTGTGTGGCACATACTGCTTTTCAGATGAGTGTTCTTTCAAAAATCATCCCTGATGAAGCTCCTGCCTTTCATCAGCTACAGGAATTAAAATATTGGTTGACCTTCTTGATTCAGAAAATGAAGAAGTCCAAGCACTTAGCAGCAACCTTATATCTGGTCTGTCAGCCTTGAAGTCTGGTGTCCCAAATGCCATAATATCCATAGGAACAATAACAAAGCTGTGCAAACTACTCAGTAGCCCATTTGATATTGTTCAAGCAAGTGCAGCGGTAACCTTGTGCCAGCTAAGCCAAGAGCCAGCAGGACAAAGACAACTGCTCAATAATTGCAGACATGACCCTTACTTGTTCAAAGTATTACAGAGGTTTCCTCACAGAGTCAAGTTTACAGAACAATTTGTCAAGAGATGGAAGCACAACAAGGATGTTGGATTGCCACCGATAAGGTAAATGAATTATTTCATTTTATGTTAAGAAGAATCTTTCATTTTATAATAAAAAGCTATCAAGTTTTCTCTAGATACAAATATCTTGAAAAAATTGAAGCATTATAATTTGCTTTAGGCCTCTACTTTTAATGGTTCTTGTTTTAGAAAATGATTGATAAAAATGAAATGAAACTGAACTTTCAATTGTTTTTATTAATTTGGTTGGTTGAACTTCACAAAAAAGTGATCCTCACATTGCATTGCAAAACAGTCTTTTTCCAATCCACTTGCTAGGTGGTTAAACAAATTCAAACAAAATGCAAAGCTTGAAAAATTGCATACATTTCACCTGTTTATTCAAAAGTTACCTTTTAACTAATTGTAAATAAGATTTTGAAACCTCTAGAAGACCTGCAGAAATTTGAATGAAGCCTTCAATCGAAAAAGCTGTTGAGATATAACAAGTCGTATTCAGAATAGCATTTTTGAGCTCACATCATCTTATTGGATGGAATGCAACAATGATCGTCATTGAGCTTGTATTTTGCAAAGTGGCAAATTCTTCAACTCTTTTTAATAGACTTAACAGATACATTTGAAATATATGGTGGGCAAAGGAATTGGTACCTAAATCATTCATATACCAAGGCATGTACTTCAGTGCAGCCAGACAGCGCAGGCCATTGTAGGCTTAGAAAAAGCATTTTACCGTTTGCTTTTAAACATTTTCGAGCCACGATAATCAATTGCTGCAAAATTCCATGACGAAATCCTTCTATAAAACCTTGCTATGAGCTAAGGTGTGAGGATGGCTCAGTTGTTAGAGGCACTGACTACAGACCCAAGGGTCCGTGGTTTGAGTCCCTGACATGACCAAACCTTCACCCAGAGCGAGGAGAGTCGCAAACTCTCTGTTATTCCAGGCATAGGAATCACGAGGTGTGGTCACATCGAGAGGGAGGATCAGGACACTGCTCGATAAGCATAGCTTCTCAGTGCCCTAGAAACTACCTTCTGGTGCTAGGTGGAAATACAAATACAAATAAAAAATAAATGCTAAAATCTTTGCTTGCACCTACAAAATAGTAAAAACAGTAATAAACATATGATTTTGTACTAAGTTTTTTGTAGCTATACCGCTATTCTTGTTCTAGGATATGCATTTCTGCTGTTTCCCACACTCTTATACCAACTGTATAAAAAAAGCTGACGGACAGTATAGAGGTTTACAGCATGCAGGAAAAAAGCAAAATTGAGAAAGAAACCCGAGTTTCATAATTATCCTAACTGTCTAACTTTAAACTTTACAATCTACATATTCTGTAAGTGGGAAAGACTTATTTTGCAATACAATGACATGATGCTGTCGTTTTGGGGTACAAGTGAGGGAAGTAGATTTAATCAGGACCAAAATGAGCTAAACGATAAATCACTTTTCTCTGGTTTGTGACCAGATTTTGAAAATTGGGATGGCAAGGTTTAGATATACTCTTTTACTATGTGTAATTGCATAAAGCTCTGCGATAATGAAAATTTTCGCGTTTGGCGATAACTTTTTATGGCGGTGGTTTTTTCTCACAGCTTTTTCTACGAGATGCGAGCTGATCCGATGCTATTTTCTCTCCAGGTTGCTATTATCTTTTTCGCAGTTGCAATTGGCTTGCTGAAAATGTAAAGAAACAATCTGATTGGATTAAAACATTCTTCACAAGCAGTTGTTGCAATAGATGCAAGTGGTTTCAGGCAACCCCCAAACTTTATCTGCTTCAATGAAAGCATAGACCTAAAAGTGTTCGACACCAAGCTGAAGCCTTGTCTAAAGGTATCAGGGGCTAATTATTTTTTTGGCAGAGCTCTCGTTGCTGGGACGATTGCCCATTCACTTCCAATTTTCAAGATACTCTAGTTATGGCATCGAAAATATTTTAAGGATAGGCAATGAAAGGTACTGTACTTTCGAAACATCTACAGTCTATCAGTGAAAGGTCTTCATACAGGGTATTCTCGTACATCTAGTACACAGGGTATTGCATAAAATACTTAAGATAGACCATGGATCCAGTTCCCTGCTCTGTGGAGAAAGTAGTATATAATTTCAGATATATTCAAATATATAGGCTGGCTAGGCCTTGAGGCAGGTAACTCTCTTGAATTCAATTGTTCTCAGCAATGGACTGTCGATAGAATCCATTGTTTGAACGTTTGAAAATCATCATCAACAACGGAAGGGTCAGGTGTTGCTCGCCGTGGCAAACGAAATGGTTGTCTGCCAAAAGTCTCTGTCCTGTGCACGTAGCAGCAGCTCAGCCATGACATTCCGACAACCTCCTTAATATCGTTCTCAAGCTTCCTTCGTGGCCTTCCTTTTCTTCTTTTACTGCTCACTATACCAGACAGGATATCATATCCTATGCCTTTATTTATTGCAACATGGCCAATAAATGACAATTTTCTTTTGCTTATTTTGTTCATTAGGGCTGCTTGGCCGATTTTTTTGTAGGATCCAATCTTCGGTTTCCTCGCTCTCCAACTGATGCGTAAGATTTTTTTTATAGCACCAAATCTCAAACGATTCTAATCTATATTTGTCAGCTTTCTTGAGAACCGAATATTCACAGCCCTATTTTGCCACAGGGAAAATCAGGGTGTGTAGTATTGGAACCTTCATTTGGAGTGTGATGGAACAGTCTTTCCAGATGTTGCTGTTGCTGATGACTGCATTTATTCCGATTGCTAATCTTCTTTTGATTTCTTTGCTGTCATTACAGTCATTTGTGAAATTTGCACCGAGGTAGATGAAATCTTCAACTGTTTTAATTATTTCACCGTTTACAGTAAGGTCTCTCATTTCGATGTTTTCTAGATCACCAGCCATTTTCATAACATTCGTTTCATAACATTGTGCCATTTTCTATCTTTCCAAATCTTTTTGCAGAGAACATGGAAAAACTCGACGACATTTTCTCTTCCGTTATTAACAAGCTCCGCAGCCACTTCATTGATAGCTACCTGTGCTTTTGTTGTTCTTTAACCCATTTATTGGTTTTCTGATTTCGCTTCGCAGAGGCCGTGTTCCTCTTCATTTGGGTCCAACACAATGTTGTTGCGCATTAAATTGTCATGGACTTTATAGAGATCTTCACCGTATTTCTTCCACCTTTTTTGACATCTTCTCCATTGCCCAATGCGTTCCCATTCTCATCTTTTATTTTCTCGGTGGTTAGCTTGTATTTTCTGGTTAGATCTTTAAAGCCTCGGCACAAATCTTTGGTTGAGTTGGTTATCAATTTTTTGGCGGGCTCTGTTGATTTGCTGCTTTTGTCTTTTCTCGTCATTCTTTGAACGGTTGCATTTTGTTTCTTGTACTCATCAGTTGTTCCTTTCAGACATCTTCGTTTCTCAATTTCTGCTCTTTTCTCTTCTGAGATTCAGTTATTCTGTATCTTTTTGCATTTTTGAATGGTATTCTTTGCAACTTGTTCTAGACATACCTTCCCTAACATCCAGAAGTCGTCAGGGGGAATTTTGTCCGTGTCACATTCCAATAGGGCCTGAAACCTGTTGTTAATGTCAACCTTGCATGTTTCACCTAGAGTTGAGAAATCTAGGCGTAGTGTTGGTGGTGGTTGGGCTATCTTTTGTAGTCTCACCTGGATCCTAGCCGACAGGAGTTGATGGTCACTGTTGCAGTCTGCTCCTGGTAGAGTTCTTGCATCTTTCTTTCAGGCAGCTTTTCCAGTTTTGTTCTATCATGGTTCAATCAGTCTGATGTCTAATAAATCTATCAGGCGTCTTAGGTGTTGATCAAAAAGCATGTTAACTATGACAAGATCGTTTGCTTCGCAGAAATCGTTAAGAGATTCTCCTTTTTCGTTTCTGATGCCAAGTCCTGATGTTCCATAGGTTGATGTGGCTGTTTTTGCTGTTCCTACTTTGGCATTCAAGTCTCTCATCACGATTTTGAGGTCACGGCGTGGTATCACGTTTGAACAATAGGTCTAAAATAGATCAAATCGCAACTTTGCCTCCGTATAGGGCATACAATTAAACGAAAGTTGACCAAGGGAAAGTCGCTAGAAACATGAACTAAAACACGATGAAATTTTTTACAAGAGTTTTGAGTCATTCGCCTCGCCAAGGCTTGCTCTAGTCAAAGGTGGTCTTGTTTCAGACAAGAAAGCCCGTTCCACCGAGAGCTGGACTGCGAAAGGGGAGATAAATCGAGGGGCTTTAAGTTAGACTTGTCTTTTAAAATTTAATTCTGGCAATGTTATGCCACGCAGACACCACATAGCCTCAGCACAATTTATTGGCATACCTTGTCTTTAAATACAATCGTTCTTTCGTGTGGATAAACATTGTCCACTTTATTAATGGAAGCTTGTATTTGCAGCAGTTGTTCACGCCGTTCTGCCTTTCCATGATTCGTTTTCAATTTGAGAAGCATTTCGGTCATCCTGACCTGGCAAAGATTTCAAGAGAAACCATTTACTGATACGATTTTACAATTGTTTAAACAGAAGGCTTTCAACGGCTAACTGTTTCGGCAGTCCTGCTATAGGATTGTTCATTTTCGTTAACTAGTTGATTCTTACATTCAAGGGTTTTATTCCTTATTATAAAAAGGCATGAAGCATAATTTGGAAATAATCAAATGTGCAACATTTAATCAGTGTCCAGAGATTTTTTTTTTAAGAATTTGTTTCACAGTTGATTTATTCAAGCAATATAACAAATGTTTTCCAGGTATCCGCAGCAGCAGCTCACAACAGGCAACTGTATATTTGGAATGGATCGAGCTAGTGCATGCCTTACGCCGTCTGTCTTAATGGACGATGAAACAGATGATACTGTTGATGGAAGTAGCATTACTCATTATGACAATGGCTCATCTGTCAAACTGCCGTCAGTATAAGGTTTGAATAAACAAAAGGTTTATCTTCATGTCCGTTGTAATATTGGTGTTTTTAGATAAATGGTCTGACGTCATAGGAATACATCGAAACGGCTTTTTATGACTGTGCCATTATAAACAATTTTTTTTAAGAATGCAACTTATGAATCCTCGGCAGTCAGTCTTTTACTATTTGTTTGATTATGGACTAAAAGTGCAACATAAACTCAGCAATTGCAGGATCCGTCTGGTTGTTATGCGTGTGATGGGTTGCTGCATCTACTTCTGCATTTGCCGTTTGACTTTTAATTGCTTTCTATGACGAGTTTGTCGGTGTTTATATCAGGTTTGGGTCGTTTAGAATATTTTCTGCACTGTTTGTAATGATGAAAGAACAGTGATCGATAAAATGTTTTCACATTTTCACGTCCTCATGCCCCAAGAACGAGTGAGAATTGCCTGCTTGATAAAACTTTTGGTTTTTCAATAAGTATTTGCATTAAAATTCGTCATTTGAAGTAAATTGTTTCAAGATAAAGACTGTAATATAATGCTGAAGGTTTTAAAGCCTGTCAGCACTTTTGTGTGAGCCTGTGTTGAATGTCTATCATTAGTAGTTAGTTGTTCCAACGGATGACAAACCCAGCAAATGTTGTTTTTGCATCTTCAAAACTAGCAAGAATGTCGCGCCAGCTCAGGAAATTTGTAAGATTTTGTTTGAGTGGATATTGTTCGCGGTTCTAAACTCTGAAAATATGGGATTCCCTATCCTCATTTTCAACTATCACTTTAGGGGTTTTTGGCTAAATTTTTATTGAAAAGCTTTCTTGACCGATCTTTATAGTCATTGATAGTAAAAAGCCAGTTCCAAAGTGCCTCTAGAAAACCTTGTTAAGCAAATTCTAGCTTCGAAAAATTAAAGAAACAATTTTAAACGGATTTTGCTAGCAAAAATCATTTTATGTTTGCTGTTGTCCTGGTTAAGTTTAGGTTTACATCTACTTTTTAACATGAATTCTGTGGCTGCTTTAAGTTAGTTGCCTTAACAAGCGTAAAAGAAGCAGCGCGTTCACAAACTTATCAGTAACTGACAAGCGTAGCAAACGAAAACAAGTCCAATCTTTTTTGTAAATTTACAGTGCTATGTAGCATAAGCAGCCTGTTCACTTTTGCTACGTAACAGCAAGTACAACGACTTCCTCATTTCAAAACTTTTTTCATCTTTTATTCTAACTTCAACCCTCTCACTACAGTTGAAATGCTTAGAGAAAATGTGAGTGAAGGACTTTGCCAAGTGGCACGAATGGTTTGTGCTTAAGCAAAGATCTCTCTCATGTGCGCTTTGCGTTAAACAAGTGAACATATTCAAGTGCTTTTTATTCTTTTTTGAGAAAATAAAAATGACAAATTCTTTGCAAATTCACACAACGAGGATGTTTCACACGTTTAGTGACGAAACTGTATCAATATTATCAAGATTAGATAAGAGAGTTAAGATAGCCGAACTAAAACCTCTTGATTTACCTCTGACAAGAAAACAAGACCACCTTTGACAAGAGCAAGACTTGACGAGGCGAATGAGCCGTTGCTCTCACATTTCTATCACGTTTTAGTACCGTTTCTAGCTACTTTTCCTTCACCAACTTTCGTGTTTTTATGCTTTTGTATGTCCTTTTCGGAGGCGAAGTGACGAAGTAATCGATTCATGATCTATTTTTGCATCAAATTTGATTGTTCTCAGCTATGCGTGACGATAGAACCCAATTGTTTGAGCGTTTGAACACTAGTTTAAAAGTAGATTAGAAAGGCCTGCTCTTGTCAAAGGTGGTTTTGTTTCGGACAACAGAGCCCGTTCCACCGGGAATCGGGATGCGAAAAAGGAAGTAAATCGAGAGGTTTTGGTTAGACTATCTTAGTTCTCTTATTTTATCTTGATAATATTATAAATTGACGGTGTCACGTGTTTAATAGCAAATTGCAGGCAGCTGATACCCGATGATGAGCAAAGTTGGCACAATGAAATCACGTGTAAGATGAAGGTCGCTTTATAGTGTAAACGATATGGTATGGGCTAGATTATACGATATCACGATGATTCTAGACACAATTTTTCACTTCTACTGATAGCATGTTGTATATTTCTATGTCAGTATATATTTCTTTATCTTATAACCTACACAAAGTTTAACTTCACGTGTTGTTTATTAGAAGTATTTCCTGTAATATTTTACTGGTGAATCGCTAATATATTAATGATCATAGCATATAAAGATGTATGATTTAAATCTCAAGTTTGTATATTTTGAATATTTGTAGATTTATTTTGATTTTTGTGATAAAATGATTCTAAGAGTGTGATTGAATTGGATTGTTTTTTCGTTAGAAATATGTTCCTAAGCAAATGTTTGCTGGATATCTCATACTATTCGAAAATCAAATCCCAGAGCGACTTATGTTACAAACGGTTTATGTATTGTCGTCCAGTAAAAAGTTTGACAATGGCTCCTAGTTTGTCCTACGGTGTAACTAGCTCTTCTCTACCGGTATCTCCACTATAGCAGCATAGAATTCTAAATGAGTTGCAAAAGGACGGATATACGTCCTTAGATAAAGGATTTGCAATCATTTTGACTGTAGATAACCTGTTTTGGGATCGTTTTCCGTTAGATCAATTTCTAACATTGTTTTATCTAAACATCTAGTCCGAAATATCTAAACAAACTTATGTAGATTTAATAAACTACTTGAGTCGTTTGTTAAACAAATGCTAGCAACCTGCCGTTGCTAAGCAACAGCCAGTTTGTTCTCTTGCATTTGATTTTTTTGTTATTTGATTCTTTTGTTATCAAGGGAGTATCTCACATCATCTGGTGATTTGGTGTTTATGTTTATGAATTTTGAACCTTGTTTCGTGTTGTTTTTGAACTTCTGAAACCAGCACCTGATGATGTACTTCAAATCATATCGGTCCAGTCTATTATGACTCCCAGACCAATATGACTCTGGTTGGACCAGTATGACCCCTGAATCGGCCAGCCTCGCTTGCAATCTATTTTAGAAAAAAAAATAAGCTAAAAATACTTGCCCGTTTCTGCGAAATTAAGGAGCTTTTGCACTTTATTTTGAAAAGCTTGGTTTATCAACTATATTTGGCTTGCTTCTTGAGGTCTTGTGTTGTTCCTGTCTATACTAGACGATTCCGGAGCTCGCAATGCCATAACATAAATGGGGCAAAAGCTGCGTAAATTGCAACGGCAGCCTAAAACATTGAGATTTGTAAATTTTTCTGTAGCTCAAACAAGGTTTAGGCTAAGGAAGAGCTGCAAAAGAAAAGGCTTTCCTTGCGTCGCAACCCCGTTAGCACTTGCAAATATGATGATGCTGGGAAAAAATTTCCATGCGATATAGCTTGACGGTTTTAATGGGATTCGACATATTTATTGTTATTAACTGCATAGAACGCCCAAGAACTGCAGTTGTCTTTTCCTTATAACCTTCATCAGGCCTCCTTCATCTCCTACTCTTCTTAAAACATCTTCATTGAAAACTCTGTCAGTAAAATTGATATGTAAAGTTAAATCACAGTTTCATTGATTTAATACTGCTTCCATGCTTTCACTAATTGTCCAAGCATCACATCCATAGAGTAAAACTGATCACACACAACATATTAACACTCTGGTCCTAGTTTTCACTTTCAGCTGCCTGTTCTTAAATACAGCATTCATCTTGTCGAAAACCTCCTTTGCAATCCCAATTCTTTTCTCGGTTTCAGGTACACTTTCCATCTAATGCTATCAAGCTTCCTAGATACGTAAACTTCAAAACGTTAGTTATTGCTGTGTACAAGGAACATTTGTTTTTCCGTTGATATAAGCATACATTCTGTGTATTTTACATCAATTTGAAGACTTGTCTTTTGACTTTCTGACACAACTTTATTCAGGGCTGCTTAATTTTCCACAGTTTATACAGTGTCATCCGCATATCTAAAGTTGTTAATATTGACAACATTAACTTTCACACCTGGCATATTCTTTATCTCCCTCGGAATGACTTCACTGTATAGATTAAAAAGATGTGGGGATAACACATATCCTTGTCTGACACCTCTCATAACTGATGTCAACTTGCTGGTCTCTCCTTAAATTCTAATGGATGCGCTCTGTTCCCAACATAAGTTCTCTATCAGTTGTAGATCTTTTCCATTTATCTCTAATGCTTCCAGAACTATAATAAAATTTTAATTGTTTACTTTATCAGATGCCCAATAGCGTAGCTAGGGTGGCAAGATTTTGGGGAGGGGGCAAAGACGAATTGCGCAAGGGAAAATTGGGAGTCAAAACCCTTTTAAATGCCAGAAAAAGCTCTTTTTCAAAGAGAATTCTTGCCAATGGAGGGGGGGGGGAGTTCTCCCTGGTTATGTCATCGCATAACAAAGTGTAGGCCTAAAAGACAAATGACGTCATAAACTGATTTTCATTGATAAAGAAAACGACGAAGAATAATATCTTTTAGCTCCTATCTTTATCTTTTCTTTCTTTACTGGAAAACGGCACAAAGCTTTGGGAAACCTTTTAAGACTAGCAGATTCATTTAAAATACATTTTTCGAATGAAAACTTGTATGGCAAAGGGACGAGGCCACCCGTGCTGTCAGTAATTGTAAGGTATTTATATATCGAATATTTTTAACATCTGTTTTATTTACGGTGCTCGTTGGCTTTAAAGAATTGAAGACTTGAAATTCCTTTAAATCATTTTTAAGCTGCCTATTACCCAATATAACAGGTGTGTCCCAGTATAAAAAAAGCAATAGCAATCCGGGCCTTCCGATATGTAATGTAAAGGTAGAGGAGATTTTTAGAAAATAGTCAGGTTTGTTAACAAGATGGCTGAACAATGGGCAGGTGTTGCTCATGAGCTGGACTTTGTACGGAAAAGAAGAAAAGTGACTGCCTGAAAAGGTAAGCAACGATGATGAAGAGGTATATAATACAAGTTTGGGAAAAAAGGCTACGATAGATTAAAAGAAGGTTTTCGACGAACCAGAGATCGCTACCTATATTTGGTCGTAAATATTACAGCCTTGAAGATTTGCCGAAGCTAAAATAATGCTGGCAAGCAATAAAAGCCTTCTAGTGTAACATATGTCGACTTGGAAGCGCTCGGGGATAAACTTCTGGCATACCAGCTGTATTCCCTTTGTGTTCAAAATGTTATCCTTTTATAGAATGCATGTTGCAGCAATGCCTCGCGCAACATTGCGTATAAATGCAAGATGACACTTTTGCTGCATATGTTTCTTGCGAAAAATTATGTAGGGAGCTGGATATCGTCAAGAACAGGCTGCACCTTTTTAGAGTCCTGTATCTGATGTTTTAGTGCGTATGAGTTTTGAGGTGACTGATTTTGAAATTGTGTCAAGTTACTAAACTGATGACAGGACTACAAGGTGACAAACAGGTTGTATTTCTTGGCCTAATTTGTAAATTTCACATTTGTTAACTACTATCTAAATGTCTTATCAGAATTGTGTTGGAGTAGCATATATATGTTTTTATTGTGCATATAGGTTACCTGTAAAGAGCATTTGATTCAAATACAGTACAAACTTGCAAAAGTTGCATCTCAAATTAAAGATCATCTCAAATTGACTGACCGTATCTGATATCGATTGAGCATGCAATGGGTGTGGGTCAACAAATTTCATCTGTCACACCGTGAACCGGGCACTTTTAGTTTCTAGCCACCCTGTCAGAATGATGCCAGACCGCCCCTGAGTATGGAAGAAGGTTCATAATCTAACAAGCATTCGTTGTTACATTTAACAGAGAAAAGTTCCTTTCTAATCTAGGGGAGGTTATTGCATGATGCCCTAATCTGCGAAACAGGCTATCATGAATAAAATGAATAAAAATATGCTGCTTTCTTTAAAAGAAACTGATAAAATGTCACGGCTCTGGCGCAGCAGAAAGATTATCGTTAACCAATCATATACATTGGTCGATTCTGCTCTTAGCTTGCCGAGTCGCATCGCACCTCTTGGGATGAAATTTTTTCATGTAAATGTTAAACTGTCTGGAAAGTGGAATAAAGATCTTACCTATGTACATGGGTTAGCATTCTATAAATGACATGCTGTGGTATTAGGGAAAAGCTCAAAGGTAGGGTAAAAGAGAAGCCATACGCTTGAAGGTGGGGTAGAATTTGCATGTAAACTTGCGATGATTTAGTCCAGCCTGCCTATTCATAGATTGCAAGGTGGAAAAATATGTGCAAATAAACATGCTTTAAGACACATTCCTATCGTGCTTGCCAGAAGACACTTTTTGCAAAGAAGCAAGAAGCCACACCACAGCCCAGGATTATATGCCTCAAAATCAGCATCTTTGACTTTTCTGATTTTGAGGAGCCATAGAACATGGATAATTTTGCCAAAAATTTGAGATAGCTCTTCACAAAGTTTGATTCGGTTTCATGCCCCAACTTTTTTCCCAAAAAATTTAATTTCCCAAAAATTGTCCTCAGAAAATTTCCTACCTTTGTAAGTTTTCTTCCGCCCCATTATCGGTCAGACTAAATATCTTCTCCCTCGTAGGAAAACGCTTTGGCTCTCAGTGACTTTCTTAACAGTTGATTATAAGTTCATAGTATGGTGTCAACATTATTTTTAGATGCATTCCACGAAGGAGGTTAGAGTCTGCACTCACGGTAGCCTCGATGCTGCCTGGCACATAGTACAAAAACTAGGCAATGTTTGCAGAAGTTCGGTAATAGACCGCTAGATACGTTTCTTATTAAAACCTTGCGCTTTGCTAGTGCAAGTAAAACTTTCAACTGAACAATTTACGTTTGTCTTTGAGAGTGGTTGCAAGCTTCAGAGATTTGCCCTTTCACAGCATTGAAATGGTTATTTTCCTGAATTTGCAGGTTCCTCTTCGCAAATTCAACCATTGACCAGATCAATATTACAAATCGAACCTCTTTATTAGGATAAAAAAGGTAACCACAAGAATAATCTATTAATCATGCTTTTATTTGTCATTTTGTTGAATGTGAATTGGATCCCTGCAGGTCCAGCTAAATGTATTACTTATTAATGAATTCAGATCTTAACGAGACAACATGCCATATGAAGATACTTGACCCAAGTCGCTCATAGGGATACTGCAGCCAAGCAATCAAGATGCGAGCTGCAACAAAAGTCCTGTTCGCAGTTATTCGTAAGTACTGCTTGAGTTGTGAGTGTTATTGATTAATAAACTTTCTATTGGAACATGACACAGATCAACACTGAAAGTATTTGGAAAGTACCTGTTTTTCAGCATTTTAAAATCTTTTAAAGACTATTCTATCAAGATGATTTTCCGTGATCCACGGATCGTTTGCAGTCAAATTACCTGTTTGAAATAGCAATGATTCTGCTAAGTAATACTATAATGACTTCAGCTAAGTAATACTATCGACTTAAATCAGAAGCATACTTAACGAGTGCGGTTTTGTCAATATTGATTGTGCGCTACAAGATCCGCTACAAGAACTACTTGATTAAGGCTATAAATATACAGTCTGGTGGTAAGGTTCCACAATCCTATTCAGGAATACTTGTCGAGCTCGCTTTGATCACTTTTCCAAACTTTTGCTTGTAGTCTTTGAAATAATAGTTGGTCTTTAGCAATCATGAATATTAATACCTGCAATTAACAACTAGCAAGAAATATGCTGAACGTGAGCGAATCTAAGTGATTGCCTATGGAAAATCTCACGTTTAAGCACATGTTTTAGCGTAACTTTCGATCGAAGCACAGCTTGGAATGTTGGATTTTGCAATGCTTGTAGAGTTGCGGAGGTGTTCCGGCAGAAACAACATGCACCGGTCCTGATCTTTCTGAATTTTCAGCTATCTTGCAGCAGGTGGTGTAATTGTCAACCGGATACGTTGCAAAAAGTTACGATTAAAAATGGAATTGGACAGAAGGAACCTTCTTTGAATTATTGCAGCTGCATGAAACGCAGTATATTTGAAGCTTGAAAGAAAAGAGGGAAGATTAGAATAGAAAGACTCGAAAATAGCGAGAAAACTTTTTCTGTCTCAATTTTCATAGGCTATCAACAGATAACTCTTCCTTCTACATTTATTTCTGCCACTGACAAAGCACCATAAAATTGACGCTTCTTCCAAATTTTCATAAAGAAGGATAAAAAAGTTCGCTTAATATGATATATATCGCATGATAGATTTTATTATAATAACACATGTTCTGAATTTTAAAGGTGATTCCTTTTAAGGAATAACAGGTACAATAAGCTTTAAAGGTGATTGCAATAATTCGTCTGCAACGAAGCTACATAAATCTCTAAGGGAACTCGTTGATTTCATTTACAGCCACCATAGAAATTCAAGCAAAATCTTGTCAATATGATGTTTTAAAATACATTTTGGTGAAAAGTTTGAATTAAGATGAAAACTGATGTTTAAAAAAGCAATTAAAAATTTCGGGCAAAACGTTTTTGCGAGCAACTTAAAATCTGTTTGCAGCAGCAAAAATAGATTCTATTTGAAACAGAAGGCATTTGACAGCCGCAAGTATGTCAGCTAATATTTTTTTCTGGTATTTTTCCAATTTTGAAGCGCAAATGGTAGTGGAATAAAAGCCTTCTAGTGTTGAAACTTAACAGGAATTGAAACGGCGATCACGATTAGGTTGTTTGCTCAATACTTGCGAGAATTTATTTTGTATGCTCTAGCATGGTGAGAAAATTTCTACCTTGCCTGTGATCGAACAAACCTTTCACCGATGATGCCATTGGTTTTAGAAATGGCATCATGCGGGTAATTCTTCTTTGCACGTTATACAACATCTTTTGTTTTGTTTTGCATTTTAACAAAGGTTGTTCTACTATCTATGTAGGACAATGTTTGAAAAAGCACTAGATTTAAAAATAAGGCTACGGGCATCTCAGCAGTCTTTTGATAATTTGCCAGCACCAAAGCAAGAGTGACATCATTAGAACCCTGACCATGGTGCTTCAGTTTGATGGAATTTTAAAAGTTTTCCAGTTTGAATCTAAAACGGGTACTTTGCCCTTTCAATTTTGGATCCTTTTCTCTCTGCGCTGTTTCAGCGGATAAAAAAGGCCATATTCTATAAAAAATCTATTGACTATGCAATGA